CTCAGCAAGGGTTAAACGCCGCACCTTTCATTAATATTCTCTCAGCAAATTATAAGAATTAAAACTATGACATTACAGAAACATTCACGATAAAATATATTACGAAAATTATGTATATTGTCTGCGTTCAAATGCACTCGATTAAATATAAATAGCCTATCTAAATATAGAAATCTAAACTATTTTAACACTAAATTGTGGAAATCGGATGTAGCATTACTATACAGCAAATCACAAAAATTTGGAAAATAGTTAAATGGATTATATATTCTTTTTCCTGTAATAATAAAAGGTTTTAAAAGCAAATACACCAGGAAGCTGATATTGTATTGTTTGCAGAATTTCAGCTATATATCTTTAATGAAACTGTTTGCTTGCAACATTTCAAGTGTGCATATTTTATGATTTTAAGATAAATGAACTTTGTTAAACATCCTTCCTTTAGCAATTTACTTTTTACTAACTGAATACGGAGCTTTAAATTTATTATTTGAAATAAATGATTACTTACATTTTATTTTTGAAGTGGTGTATTTAATTATGGTAAAGCACACTAGGGCTATCTGAATAAAAGGTGGGATGCCTTCGTGGAGGACTTTCTATGGAAAGCTGCCTCGTATACACGTTACACATGGAGAAAACCACGAAAACGCCCATACAGCCAGCCCGTTCGCGGGATTCGAACCTCGAACCGAACTACCAGTGTTCAGCGACCTTACCCCTCGGCCGCTGGTGGGCCAAATTTTATTTTTGAAAAAGGATGGCAAGTATTTTGCGCTTGATTAAACTCTTTTCCGAACATTAATTTTTAACAACAGGAAGCTTAGATACTTCATTGAGAAAATTTTAAGTAAAACCTTTATTATGCAAAATGTTTTGAGTAGTAAAATTTCATTAACTAATAAATTTCTTTTCCTTCAAAAGCCATTTTATGCATAAAAATACTTTATCAGAAGCCTTTCGTACCTAAGAGTCATTAGCAGAAAAATAATTTTACTGCCAATAACTATTCTAATTAAATTTTCTCAAAATAATCATTAACAATAAAATTGTTTTCACAATCAAATATATTAGTAGTAGAATTCAGATTCTATATTTTTTGTGAGGCAAAAGCTATACTGTATTAATATTTTAGACAACATTTCTTTGTGATATTTGGCATTTGACAGTTATAATATCTTTTAAAATTACCAGTGACTACAAGAACATTAAGTTGAGTGCTTGAATGAGACAGACAGAAAGGTCTCGCTCGAAGATTTTTTGCATTCTCTGAAGATTTTAAAGTTTTCTTTGATTTTTTACGCTAACGTTTAAGGTAAAGGAGGCAGAAAATTGCCTTCTCGTAATTTTGCATTTTTGCATGCTGTGTGAATAAGTCTAATACGCTGGTTTCAAGATAAAAGATATAATTTTTTTTTTTGACATGTAAACAAAGTTAAGCTTGTTTTCAATATGAATGACTTCCGCTGATCCAAGTCCAGTTTCAATTAATCAGAGATTTTACACTTTATTTCCGTGACCAAAATTGGAACTGAAAATGGTTTTACACATAGTATTTAACAAATTCTCGTGATTTAACATTCTGGTGATTTTTATAAAAAAAATAAGATAATTTTAGGAACTTTCAGGATATTGTTTTTAAATTTTCTAGATCATACCTGCAAGCTTTTGGAAAGACTAAATTATTATTCTATTTGACAAATATGCATGCATGCATTATTATTCAAATTATTTTTTTATTATTTCAAATTTAATTGAATTTTATATTATTTTTTTATTTTATTTGAAAATTATAGTTTTGCAGCTAAAATTTTAAATAGTTTTATAACTTTCCTAAGTTCTATTGATTTTTTGTATATTTTTTTTCATTTTTCTTCTATTATATTGTCAAGAAGTCTTAGGTGAATGAAACATGTTGACTATAATTTCAGTCAGTTTGATACCCATAATATTATCAGAAATTCTGTGAAAAATTTCAATTTCAAGCATATTGATTTGGAATAATGTAGTTTGATTTAAAAATTTGGAAAAAAATGGTGTATACTTTAAAACGAAAGTACATAATATGAAGAAAGCAGACCTCATAATTCAAACATTTTGTTAAAAGATATGTTCTAGCGATGCATTATATGATAAATAATAATAAATAATCTTATCTTTTTGGCAGTGTAATAATTAAAAAGATGAAAAATCTGAATTTATTGCTAAACATTTATTCATACAGTTTACACACATGTAAATACAAAAATGATATGTACAATTAAATGAAATGATATGATAATTATTTTTGACAATGAAACATCACAAATAAGGATATATGAAATACTGCTGTTCTACAGCTACATATACTTGCTAATAATATTTTTCATAATAAAATCCTAAAATTTTTCTCACATGACAAATATTTCAGAAAGTAATAAAATAATATTATACATGATATTAAATTTTTCATACGTAAAAATTACCGAATGATACTCCATAGACTGAGATTTGAAATTTAATTTCGAGCAAAAAGAAAATGTTTAACTTTAGTTGTAAAAATCAAGCAAGCTCATTTTGTGTAGAGAATCGTTTCATACATTTAAGGAAGGTTTTAGAATAAGCAATAACTGTTTATCGCTATTAGCTTACGTCGAACAATAAAAGCTTGTAAAAAGTGTGTATTATAAATTAATTCTTACACATAATTATTAAGAACATTTGCGGAATTGTAAGATCTTTCTTAGTACAAAGCTTGTTAAATTTTATATAAATATTCTTTTATGTAATTTAAATTAAGTTATGCATAAAGATTTCAAAACAAAATTTTAATAAGAAATGAATAATATTGATACTTTTCTTTAAACAGTTAACAGTTTCTTTAAACAGCTATCTCAGATTAAACTGTTGGAAATGATGTGGAAGTTTTGAGAATTCTGAGAAATCTACTAAGAGAAAAAAATGATGTGATAAGTTTACTTTAGTACAAATTATCATTATGATAAACTTTAAAAGAATCATTTCACACATTGAGTTAAAAAAGCTATCTTATATAAATTACAAATAAAGTACTATAATCGTTTAAGTACTTTGAAAAAGAATGAGCAATGTTATTCACCTAAACATGTAACGAAGGCAAGTGATATGCGATGGTTTTGAATGTGAGTTTTAGAACTGCGTAGGAAACAAAGTCTGAACTTTTTTATAAAAGTTCAAATGTTGCGAAAGTACTGGCAAAATAACTGACGATGTATAGATTGAATTATAAAGTTAAAACACGAATTTTCTGTGCTTATATTTGTAAATTAATGTACATTTGATTAATAAAAATGAGGTGAAGTTCATAAAAATTATCAAAGAATCTCAATATAAAAGCATTGTTTTAAAGTTTTAATCTTATAGAAAGGTAAACAGGCTAAAAACGGGCAGTAATACGCAGAAGAAAAAGGCATTTGTCATTAAAATACAGGCCTTAAAAAACGTAAATAAAACATTTGTAATTATTCATTTAATAAATCTCTTTACCTGTCTTTCATTGCTTCATTAGTTCTTTCCAATAATCTTTATGCCATCAAGAGAAGCTAAGAAAACAATTTACTAAAATAAAAATGTATTGCTGCAAAAATATAGTATGAAAATTTTTAAATACCAATTTTCTTAAAAATCCATATATATTTTATATACATTAGTTCTCCTTTCTACGTTTTTGCAGTTCTCGTAAAATCACATTTTATGTATTTGTTTATGAGTAAGTGACTTCTTTTAAAACTTTTGGATGTGCTCTTCATTAAATCAATCCAATTAATTTGAAGAAAACTACGTGTTTGTAGTCAATGAAGGTGCTCTTCATTAATTAACAATTATTACAAACCTAACACTTTTCTGAATGTACTTGTAGCCCAGGTAAAGTATAGTCACCCTTGCTTGAATATGATGACAACGTGGCTATGTAACTTTTCAATGATTTCGAAGTCAAATTTTTTGAGTCACTGAACTTGCATTCACTATTTTTATTCTTCTCCACAGCTTTTTCATTTTGACTCTCACTATTACTGGTTTTCTTCCATATGAAAGATTCGATATACATGTAAGGTACTTGGAAAAATATGTAACAGACGTAGGCTAAGAGAAATGATGTCATAAGGTAGCCGAAATAGTTGATAACCTGGAAAAAATATGAAGATACTATTATATTATTATGATTTTTAGATATCTCCCCAATTCAAAAATAAATAAGAAAAAGATAAAAATTGAAATCAAAATTCCATATTACATTAAATAAGAAATATTTTAGATTAAGAAAATGTAATTAACGATTTTTAATGTTGTTTCAAAATTAATTCTGCTGTTTGATACAAAAATAATTTTAAACTTAATCTGCATTAATGCCTGAATGAGCTAAATCCATATAAAGAGAAATATGTTTCTTTGCCAAAACAGTCATTTGTTACTTCTGAAATGTAACGTTAAAATTTTTAGAAACAATTAATTCGTGTCTTTCTCCTTGTTACAAAAATACGCAGTCTCTATTGATAGATCCTTCATGCCCGATAGAACTGAAGTAAGAAAGAAATCATGTAATGGCAATCTAATAAGCCACTATATGTTTTAAAATTTGTTAAAAAGAAATCCTTTTCCCTCAACTAACTATAAATATTCCTAATAAATTAATAAATATAGCTACAAAAATATATGAATGGAGAAAAAAAATTAAAAGCAAATCATATTTCCTAGAATTAAATGCATTATGTGATGTTGAAATATATGTATTTCGCGCTATGTGCATATAATAAAAATGAAATTTTATTCATAATACCTTGAAACACAGCAACGGGTAACTGGAGCAGTCGAACGGAAAGTATAATAACTTGTATCAGATGATTGACATGGTGCTTAACGCGTTAAAATAAAAATATGCAGATTTATTTAAAAGCTATGATAATCAAGTTTGTGTATAGTGAAGAAATAGTTTTTTTAATACAAACTCAAATGTAATAAATATTATTCGCAAATTGGATATTAATCTTCTTATTGTTGAAATTAAATTTTGATCAAACTGAATCTTGATCTAATCGCTGAAAATGTATACTGTCAGTAAAAAAAAAAAAAAAAATTATTCTATTTCAAATCAACTAAATTATGAACTTACATTTTCTTCATGACTCAAGTACACTCTTTCACGAAGTACTCCGATATGATAATAGATGACAATAAGATGAAGTAAATAAGCCAAAAAGCTCAATTTATAAAATGGAATGAAAGCTCTCCAAGATAAAATATCTGGCAAGAACCCTACAAAAAATATTAAAGGATATATAAATGGTATCTTTTTTAAAGATGGACATGAATGCTAATTTAAAACATTAATCAAAAATAAACTTTTTCATATGAAACCACAGATCATTTATAAATTAATGTTTTAAAAATATTTGTTTCTAAGATAACTGATTTTAAATATAGGCATATAACCATTTAACAGATTACATATGGTAAGGTTAACTCGAACTTAATTTAAAACTAACTTTAAAATAAGGAAATGATGAAAATTACATGATTGCATTCATTCATTGATCAATTATATAATAACGTAATTAATTCATAATGTAATAATATTTTTAATTTAATAATATAAATTAAATTTTTTGACAATAATATAATGTTTTTATAATTTTTAATCACCATACGCTTGTAGCTCTATTATCATAATATCCTTACACAGTATACATAATAATTTTGGCAATTGTATGGCCATAGAATCTAGATTCTGGATTTTAAAATCTTGAGATCTGAATATAAATTTATTCTTAACAGATTATTTCCAAGCAAAGTCTCATAATGTGATGCGTTAGTTTGGGAATAAGCATACGAGACACTTGAAATGTATAACTAGAGAGCAGATGTTAAACGTGCCACCATTCCAGAGTGTTATTACTAAAACATAGTCTTATCATTAAATATCATTAAAATAAAAATACTTCCTTCACTCATCCCAGATACCGAGCAATCCAGAAAAACTAAAGACAAAACTTGCTCACTTACCTGGGTAGTGTGATGTTGAATCTGTAATAAAAACTCTAATATGTTGATTTATCTAATTATATTCTCTCTATACTACAAAATATATACATTTTTTTAACAATTGTTGGGAAATTTTTCTGGCCCCGAAAGTTATTACACTAAATCAGTTCACGTCACGAGGTCCAAAAGGGGAAAAACCCTTTTTTTCTTCCTACTTCAATGACAGCCAACGCCATCTGTGTCTCGTACATCAAAATGAAGAGATTTGTTTTTAATATTTGTTAGATACAGCTAATCAGTTTCACAGCACAGAGCCTCAACCGACAGTGAAATGCGCAGAGTGCCAAATACCGATTATATACAAAATGCGATCTGCCACACGGTGCAAAAACTCTCCTTCAAATCTGTAGGCTAAGAAGATCCATCTGTACCATCACCTTTTGAAGTGTATTTAAAATTAATAGGTATTAGAGTTCATTGCATTGGCATTATTAATGTTGCATTTTGGTGCACATACACTATTTACACCAAATCTGTATTATCTTACTGAAGTACCGGGTGATCAAAAAGTCAGTATAAATTTGAAAACTTAATAAATCACGGAATAATGTAGATAGAGAGGTAAAAATTGACACACATACTTAGAATAACATGGGGTTTTATTAGAAAAGCAATAATTAGAAAAGCAATAATGTGATCAGAAAAGCAATAATTAGCATAACAAATTAAGACAAAGCAAAGGTGATGTTCTTTACAGGAAATGCTTAATATGTTCACCATCATTCCTCAACAATAGCTGTAGTCGAGGAATAATGTTGTGAACAGCACTGTAAAGCATGTCCGGAGTTATTCCTTCGAATGTTGTCTTTCTGCATCATCCGTAGAGATGTCGGTCGATCACGATACACTTGCGACTTCAGGTAACCCCAAAGCCAATAATCGCACGGACTGAGGTCTGGGGACCTGGGAGGCCAAGTATGACGAAAGTGGCGGCTGAGCACACGATCATCACCAAACGACGCGCGCAAGAGATGTTTCACGCGTCTAGCAATATGAGATGGAGCGCCATCCTGCATAAAAATCGTGCGTTCTAGCAGGTGTTTATCAGCCAGGCTGGAGACAATGCGATTCTGTAACATATCGGCGTACCTCTCACCCGTCACGGCAGCAGTTACAAAACCAGAATCACGCATTTCCTCGAAGAAAAAAATGCCCGATAACAGTAGATGTGGTAAATCCAACCTATACTGTGACTTTCTCGTGGTGCAATGGAGTTTCCACCACAGTTCTAGGATTTTCGGTAGCCCAAATTCTGCAGTTGTGGGCGTTGACAGACCCTCGGAGCGTGAAATGAGATTCATCGGTCCACAACACGTTCCTAAACCAATCGTCATCTTCCGCCATCTTTTGAAACGCCCACACCGTAATCCGATCCGATCCGAACAAGTATGGCTGGAGTAGCGCGCGAAGCGCGCTGTTTCCAGCTCATGAGGAGAGCCAATAGGCACATGATGGTAGGAAGTCTGACGTGGTAGGAGTTAAGAGAATGAGGTGAGGCAGAAGGGGGGCAAGCAAGATGCCGCAAGTCTAGGAATTAGGCCAGACAAGAAGACGCGCCGCAGACGGAGCTGTGCAAGGTAAAGCAATAATGAGTTTTCAAGATAAGATACTGTGAAAGTATACTACATGACAGAACGAGTTTGTAATAATACAAACTCTCAAAAGGCATACATTTGCAAAAATATAGAGTTACAGTGACAAAAATGCAGTTTGGAAGATCAGAAATCATATAGAAAGTTTCGATGAAATAATAAGAAAAGTATTCATAAAAGCTATATACAATATGTACAACTATATACAGGAATGTTCTACTTTATGTAGGAAAGTTCAGATCTCTGGCTAGGTGGGCTGCCAGCAGTCGTAACTCTTTACCTTCCGGTAGTGGAATGTACTCAAATACATGTAATTTTGTCATGTGAGGGCATGTAACTGCTTTCTGGAAAAAGCTGGAGTTTAGGCGATGAAGATGCTCTATGACAGTTTCAATTTTCAAATCTTTGTGTAAAGTCCTATTAGATACAAAATAATGCCCATTCGTGAAGGTGCGCAGCAACTTGTTTTGTGTAATTTGTGTGGGAAATCATACCGTCCAATGCTGAATGAGAATTGCCCGTTATGACGTCATCAGTATAGCATCACCCAGCGCAGTAAGAATCATCCCAGACAGCGCTGAGACCTGGTCGAGAGTGGAGGGCAGACGTGAGCAGACGGCTCACACGTCTTCAAGAGTTCGTGAACTTAGATTGAGCTTTTGATGTTATGCCTTTAGGTGTAAAAAAACTGTTGGTGCATCATTATGTTGATCCTGCATACCGTTAACTTCATCTTTATTTACTTTTCTTATTTACTTTTATTTCTTTCTATTAAATAAACCATTTAAATATTCGTGCTCTCATGCTGTGAATTAAGTCAAATTCTACAAAAAAATATGGCGACCAATCGTGCGGCCTCGAATTCCAAAATGTTCGAGTAGTAGAACTGTCCTTTGAACTACTGAGTGAAAGTTATTCGATTTATTGGATTACTCGTATAACGTGTGGATTACCCAATTGACGACGATCATCTGTCGGGTGAGTACAAAACTTTCTTTCCAATATGAAGTTAGTAGAAATTCCAGAATTGGAAGCAGCTTTAAAGAACCGTAAAAGTTTTGAAATCAAAAGTTTGCATAAGCTTATTTTTGATACTGATGGAGACCGAAATAACCGGAAAAGATTACGTGAATTTTCTGGCTTTATATTTAAACCAGATTCTGAAGAATTTAATAAGAAAATAGATACAGTGCAGAATAGTTTTACTTTGAATGAGTTAATTAAATGAATTAATTATTTGAATGAGTTAATTAAATTTGAATGAGTTTGCAATGTGTTGTGCATAAATTCAGAAGGTTCAAAAACGGAAGTCGTAACCCGAATTGTCTCTTTACTATGTGATTTATCTGTACTATTTGAAAATATTTTGCATGAAGAGAATAGTGATATTGAAGATGAAACTATTAATAAAATTTCTGAAGTAATGCTTGATGATAATCAAAGAGACAATCCTGGTTTTACTGAGTCTGAAGTAAATAACAGTATGCAGCTTCCAATTCAAGATCATTTTAAACCTCATCTTAGTTTTTCGGATATTGAAAGTATTGTTATACCTTTTTCTGGTAATGCATATGAAAATGTTGATAAATGGATTGGTGAATTTGAAGACGTTATAAACTCTTTGAAATTAAATGATCTGCATAAATTAGTTTTTGCTAAAAGATCATTAAAAGGTAAAGCGAAACTATTTATTCAGAGTGAACCTAAAGTTAATGATTGGTGTAAGTTAAAAAAGCTTTTGAAATCTGAATATGGTAAAGCTTTTAATTCTGCTGAATTGCATGAAATGTTATGTAAACGTAAATTAATGCCTAATGAATCCTTAGATGAGTATTTTTTGAAAATGAAAGAAATGTGTTCGCGAGGTAACATTGAAGATGCTTCGTTAATTAAATATGTTATTGATGGTATTCCCCATTCTGTAGTGAGGAAAACTATACTATATGGTTGCGAAACAATATCTGAATTTAAACAAAGGCTTAAAATTTATGATAGAATGAGATCGGACAATGATAAGTTTAAAAATCCGAAACCGAAAGTAAACTGAAGTTAAAGATAGAAGTAAGCTTTCGTCATCAAACCGAAATCAATCTAACGTTAATAAGGTCAAATGTTTAATTGCCAGGAATTTGGGCATTATTCAAAACATTGTGTAAACAAATCAAAGGGTGTAAAATGTATAAAATGTAAAAAGTATGGGCATTATTCAACTGACTGTCCAGATCAGACCCCCGAGAAACAAGCAGCTTTATTACAACGAATTTCCGACAAGGATAGAATTATGAAGACTGTAGAAATAAATAATCATTTAGTTAATAGTTTAGTTGACACTGGTTCAGATGTAACGATATGCAGCGTAGAGTTACACAAGCAGATTGGTTCTCCTAATTTAAATTTTAGCGATATCATATTAAACGGAATTGAATCAAAGCAAACATACCCCATTGGCTTTTTCATTTCTGATATTTCAATTGATAGTTTTTCACTGCGTACTAAAATTTATGTTGTTAAGTCATTATGTAATCAAATTGTATTAGGTTTAGATGTATTGAATCAGTTTAACTTCTCTTTTACCGAGAATGGCCTTCAAATAATTTCTCATCGGAATAAAAGTAATGTAAA